TTCTCACCCAGCAGTTCCATGTGCCTGTTCTTGCAGAACCTGGCAGTGGGGATTAGCTAGCTCCTGACAGTATGAGTTTATTCACTTCTACATTTGGCTTTTATCTTGTTGTGCTAATTGTGATCCAGCACCTTCATTCCCAGGAAATCACTTGTATTTTTCCTCAATTTTTACAGTTATCTTTATTTTAGCACAAGATCTTTGTCCTCTAAGGAACCAGATCACTTTTCTCATCTCACTTTGCTCAGCAGACTAAGAATTCAGTGCATACAGGGAAGAGTAGAGCCCCTGTTCTATATTTAGCATGCAACCTCAAGCGTGTTTTGACTTAAATTCAAGCCTCCTCTTCATTGAAGTTGTTAAGCTCCTATTCAGCCTAAATGAATTATTTTAAGCTGAATCTTGAGTTTATCAAAGTTTCATACCTTGAATTTGAGAAAAGCTGCAACAAAACCCAAAAGACTCCAAGCCAACCAAACAAAACCCTTAATTGTAAACATGGTTTTTAGAGTTTAGAGACTGTGATGTCTCAGTCCACAGCAGGGGCACGCAGGATGCGTTTATGTGATTAAATGAGAGAAGGAGGGACAGGCTGCCCTGTCTTGAAATTGCTGTGTGATACACAACCTTGTTCCCTGGCTGGTTATAAGAAGAATTTGCTAGAGGAACCCCCAGCTCTACTTCATTCAAAATAGACAAAGCATCTATTTTTATTGTAGGCTCTGCAAGAACTACCTGATCGGCTCTGTACAGAACATTCCTGGAAGAATGTGAAAGACTTTTTAAAGGAGTTCTGTGATGCAAAAGAAGTTGCATTTTACAGAAAAAGACACATATCAAATAAACAAGTGCATAGAAAACTAACACCTGAAACTGAGACTTTAAGGACAGAAGAAAATTTTTTTGGTCTGTAAAGCCTAAATAATGGAAGAGAGGGCCTGCCAGTACTGTTGAGCTTTGCAAGTATAGCTGCTAGGATCAGATCTCATTCCTGGATCATGCTGTTTTAGTTAGGAACTACAAGGATGATTAGACATTCATGTAAGGAACAGGGTTAGCACTTTAAGAGGTTTACCACTTTCTGAAAGTCACATAGCAGCTTACAATGTTTGTATTCAAGGTGACTGTACAGAATTGGACAGGTTAATGCAAGAGATAGTGAAAGCTCAGCTGTGAAATGTTTCTGTAAAATCTTGGTTTGGCTCTAGATATAACATTTTCCATTGACTCAAGGAAGACCAGGGTTTCAATTAGACACTAATCAGCATTCCTATGTGTGACACCCTTATACACTTGGAATGTCAAAACAGTTCTATATGACGGTGATGCAGTTTCTGTGACCTTTTCTCTTTTAATGAGAAAATTCTGTGTGTGAAATAGACTTATACTCAGTTCAGGAAGGACTTTGTCATCTAGCCTAGGAAATTCTAAACAAGACTAATATTTGCAGTTTTAAAAGGAGGAAAGAGGATTTCTTTAGGGTAAAATGCTGAAATACTTTTTCTATTCAAGCCCCTATTAAATATTATCTTTCCAAGTCTTAGCTGTAGAGCACAGTTGAACTGAAGAAATTTTCAGCCTGAAGCCAAAACAAACAGAAAATCACTAACAGAAATAGGGTGGGAGCCTTCAAACAGAAGGTGTACTGATTACTGGTTTCAGAATTGAAGAAAATACATTTAAAGGCAAGAGAAAATGCAGGAAGATTGCTTGGTATAGCTTGAAATAAAAGAACCTCTAAGGTTTCTTACAGGTTTTCGTGACCTGAGCATTAAGGTGCCCTTAAAGGCTACTTTAGATGATAATTTGTTTGATTTTTATTCTCGCATAATGAAGTATAAACCTTTTTCTCATAGGAATACAGTAAGGATATTTATTGGATCAACTCTGCAGCTCTTGAGAATGAAACAGAAAAATCACTTAGTTAAAAATATGATTTTGAATTATTATGTGTGCACAGATATTATTGTGAGGCTTCTTTCCTAGCATAAGCCTTGCAATTCCAGTAAGTTGTGGGCAGTATGAAGGTCATTTACGTATGCTCCTCATTCATTTTTCTGTGATGTCTTTTGGCTTATACTAGAGACCACATTCAAAGCCTACTGAAATCCTACTTCAGTAGGATTTAAATCAGACCATACTTTTCTCCCACATTAAGTGAAACAATTGCATTTATGGGTTTTAGGAATTACTTTTGCAGCACGCTGCTTATCATCAAATAGTACAGTTGCAGTGGGTGGTGAAAGCAGTAGGAATCCCCTTTTTCATTGCCTCTTTGCAACCTTTACTCTCAGGTCCCTCTTATTCTGGATTTGGGTATGTAGAGGTAAGTAGGTACTGTATTCCTCTGGGTCCCATCCAGCTCAGATAGGTGAGAGTGGTCTCCGAAGTGGGATATAACATCCCATTCTTTGTATGGGTCACGGGTAGGTTACTACATCCGTGAAGTGAAGGATGGCACTCCTGAGCAATGCGGCTACATGCTTGTTCTCCCCTCGGGCTGAAATTATAGCCATATTCCAGTCCATAGGATAATCTAACCATAAATGCAGCAGCACAGAGTCAGCACTTACTAGGTTTGAAATGCCCATCCATCATAAGTAGTTGGGAGAATGGCTCCAGTCTGAACAAGGGCTACATAAGATTAGCTTCTGTTTTAAGATTAGGGAAAGGATTATGGCCTAAATGAAATCTTTAAACTTTTGGTTTATGTCAAATTACACCAAATCAAAAGATGGATATGGGTCTGCCCATAGCCTTATAGAAAATAATGGGTTAATATTTCCTTAGAGTAGTCTGAGAGATTAGGACATAAACTGTCCATTGACGTTGTGTCTATATCCCTCGAGTGCCTTGCAAAACGTAGCAATGTTCCCTGCTCTGAAGTATTCAGAAGTTGTTAGGCTGTTCCATTTATTTTTTTGTTTCCCTAGCTGGTATAAATGGATGCAGTGGAGTTTCACTATTTTTCACCAGCTGAGGTCCTGGTCCCAGAAGTGGTTGAAATGGAGGTGAGTTAAGGGACAATTAGAGCAATAGGTAAGAGCTGGATGGGGATGTCTGCTTAAATGTGTGTTCTCTAGGCACCTATCCTGATTTTTTTGCCTCCTAATATCTGAACGAAACAAAACAAGTATAGACTATTTTACAGACTGGTTAGCAATTGTTGTCTGGTACAGAAAAGGTTAACAAACCTACTGCAGGAATGAAGAAATACCCCAAATATTTTTGGGCAGCTGTAGTATTAGAAACAGTTTGCTGTAGTTCACTGCAGGTGAACCCTTACAGCTAAGCTATTCGGATGCTAAGATTTCCTTTGAGATGCTCGCATGTGTTTACTTTTAAAGATGTGCAAACCCCACTGAAAATACTCACAATGGGTGAGCAAACATTGTACCACCATTAGAAAATAAATAGAAATAAAATAAGATCCTTTGTGCTACATGCTAAATGCACTTTTCTAATCCTAATTTCATTCACCGGGTACGTAGCTGAGTCCCTCTAGTGGCATAAACATTTATTTAGCTTCAGCATGTTATTAAAATCCTATTTTACAGCCACATTATAGCAGCAAATTCACAGGTAGCTTTTTTGCACGCTCTGAGGACTGTGGCAAAGTGAATCTTGGATTAGATACTGTGCAGGCTAGTGTTAATTAATGCACATTGATTTTTAGCTGTGAGGGGCAATTATAGATGCACTGGAAGGAGAAGGGAATTTTTTAAAGGATATTCAAGAACTAATTACTATCAGTAAGAAACACGCAAAGAGCAACGTAATACCCAGGACAGCCAATAGGGATAAAAGCTTGTACACAAATCTGTCATGACCTGGTAGTGAAGACTGTTTAAAAACACTGATCTCCACTTAGCTTGTAAATGCGCATCACCCTCTTTCTCACTCACACGTTCTCTCTCTCTCTGACACACACACACACACACACACACACACACACACACACACACACACACACACACACACACACACACACACACACACACACACACACACACACACACACACACACACACACACACACACACACACACACACACACACACACACACACACACACGCACGGTCCTGGATTTGCAGAAGACAGACATCTAGGGCACTTCTTGGCATCCACAGGAAAATCATATGGGATTAAAAAACCACAGCAGTAAGTACTCACTGCATTAAATGTTTATTAAGTGGCATGCTGTCAAAATCTAGATTTAATAGTAAATACAGGAGGACTTTAATGGAAATGGGTTGTATTTGATTTTTCTTAGGAATTGCTGAAAGCTGCCTCTCGAGAACTGCAACTTCACCTTTTGCTTTTATGGATGCTTGTTTACTATCCATGTGGTAACCTCTGGACAGCCAGTAATCCGTTCATTATCCACACTGATTGAGTGCGGGAGTAGGGCAGT